TGCCGTTACGACGCTATCTCTACGGTTATTTTTTAACACTTGCATTTTAACACACCGCACTGATGAACCAAGTGTTCAAATGGTAAACACTTGATGTAATAAACTTATAAGTTAAGGATGTATTCTTTCCTGCAAGTGTTCAACACCGTGGTTGTGAACTTGTAAGTGTTCAACTGTAAAGTTTGCAAGTATTTGCGCGTCGAAAACTTGGTTTATCAGGTGTTCGGTTAACACGCCCACTTTTCTAGCGATGCGAGCGGCTGTGTCTGCCGCTCATCGCTGACCACAGCGCCTTACGGCCCCGAGCAAAGATAGTAAACCAACACCCGCCTGCGTGCGGTACTATAGAGGTTTATTGGTATTCTTTTCTCAAACTTTTTCATGTTTCGTTTGCAGAGCCCGAGACGGAGATACTGGGCGGGCCGGAACTCTTCATCAACAAGGGCAGCACGATCAACCTGACTTGCGTGGTGAAGCACTCGCCGGACCCGCCGCCTACCATGGCGTGGAGCCACAACTCGGAGGTGAGTCTGGTCAATGTGGTGTTGACGTGGTTGGCGTCAGGCTCGAGGGGACGGTGAGGGGTCCTGGGGGAGGACCCGTTGGTGACCTCGTCCGAACGGACCCCGCCCGGAGGGACCCCACGCGGAGGACCCCACCCGTGGAGACCCCCGTGGAAGCTTTGCCCTTAGCACGCTGCCGTAGCTCGGGGCTCCCCCCACAGGCGGCCTGGCATTTGCCTGGATCACTCCCCTCCGCTTTGTGCAGGCAGCTGCCGGTGGCGGCTCGCTGTATACAGGCCTGAGCCCCGCGCCCCGCCGGCGTTATGGGGGTGTCATAACGCCCTGGGCAGAGCGCGCCGGGACGGATCTCTTGCCACCCGCCGCCCCAGATCGTGGGTGCCCTCCAACACCTTGCCTTAATTTGCTCCATCCATCCATAGATCTGTCGCAGGCCGAACTGGAAAATGCTTGCCACGAAATAAGCGCGTAAAGCAAACAATTTTCATATTTCCAAACATATTGCAAAGAAATTCTAAAGTGTTGCAGTACGAAGAGTTTCTTCGTGAACTATTTCTTTGCATTACTCAACAAATGAATAGTTTGAAACGATTCTGAAAGTTTTCAAAGAAATTCTTAACGACAAACTAACTCTTTGCAATACAGAGTGATCGCGAAAATTATTCCCACATCGTTTCCAAATGATTTGGTTAGCAAAGCATTTCACTTTTACAGTGCGCACCAGCACTGGTGCACGTGCTGGTGGTCTTCACACGGTGCGTTGATCCTAGAGCGCTGCAGTGCAGTGTTTGTAACAGAGAGAGAGAGAGAGAGAGAGAGAGAGAGAGAACGAGAGAACCAGGCGGACAAAACGACCCACCGGAGCAATTGATAAAATCGAGAGATTAGAAATCACTGTCGGTATTTAAGCTGAGCAAATAGCTGCTCTGACAGGCTCCCCCTTTCAATATACTACGCAGCTCGGCGCGGATATCCTCTGCTGCCACCACCGTTCCGTCACCCGGCTCCGGGGGGTCCTCGGCCAGAGTGCTGGTTTATCGTTTCCAATTCGCCGCGCCATGGCTCCCAGGTAAGGCTGGTGGCGCCAGGTAATCCGGCCCGGTTAATTACATGAATATGTATGGGCAGTCAGCGTTAGCGCGTTTACCAGGCGACCGCGTCGGCTCCCCCCGCTGCCTGGGCTTTCCTCCTGGCGTCCGAAAAAAGGACCGTTGGCTTCCGTGCTTCCTTTCTCTCTCACCCCCCCAAGAAAAAGCGCGCGCAGGGGTGCGCCGTGCGCCTTGGGCCCCCGCCCCGCGGGCTTGTCGCCCAGTGGGGAGGACAAGGTAGGGGAACGCAAACAGACCGCCGACTTCTCGTCGGGACATGATGTCGGGTCGACGGAGCG